TGCGGGGGGGGAGGCCGGGGCTCAGGGCCTGGGGCGGCTGCGGTCACCGCTTCCCGGCCCTCGGCCTGCAAGCGAGGGGTGAGCAGGAAGCGTGGGCGCTGGGGGAAGTTAAACCGTGTGAGCCCGCGTCGCACGCACCGGGGGCAGCTCCGTTCAGAAAGGCTGCCCGCGGCTGTGTGTGGGTTTGCTCTGCCCTGCGGGGAGCAGCCGAGGGAGCTGGGGCTGTTTAGGCTGGGTCACAGGAGGCTGAGGTAGCAGGAGGCCTCACCGCTCTGCAGTGTTGGTCTCCTCTCCCAGCTGACAAGTGATGTGACGAGAGGCCTCAGGTTGCGCCAGGGCAAATTCGGATCGGGTATTAGGGAAAAAAAAATCCTTGCAGAAAGGGTTGTCAAGCGCTGGGACAGGCTGCCCAGGGAAGCGGAGGGACGTGGTTCAGCGAGGGGCTTGGCAGTGTGATAGGCTAATGGTTGGACTTGGTGATCTTAAAGGTCTTCCCCAACCAAAACGATTCTATGTTTGATAAGTTTATGAAATCTTTAACTTTCAGCGTCAAGTTGGTAAGTCAGTTACTTGTTTTGAAGATGAAGTCTGTCTGGGATTAAAATTGTTGCCTTTAGTCAGCGTGGTGAGAGGCAAAAGCAAGCACCTCAGGCTGCCATAGGTTTCATTAAGGGGGAGAGACCTATTTCACAGACTGAAAACCTTCTTATTTTTTAAATTTCTTTAAGTTCTTAATAATTTTTGTGGATGGTGATTTAGAATAATATATCACTAGTTAGAAGAAGGAAGGAGACATTAAAATGTATCTGAAACTGAATGAACTGCAATATTAGCCTCAAGTAGAAACGAACCTATCGCTCATGTGAGAAAAGTTACATTTTGAATAAATGTAATGTAGTCCTTTGTTCTCTAGAATTGCTGTTCTCTAGAATGCTTTCTTGGTTTCTGCAGTTTGGATGCTAAATCCACGAGTATCCAGGTGGTTGTTAAAGAAGGTGGTCTGAAGCTTATCCAGGTCCAGGATAACGGCTGCGGTATCAGAGTGAGTAAAAAAAAGTTGCCAGCTGTATGCTGATGCTTAGTACTACTTTAAAAAATCTATTTCAGTTTCTAAATGTTTCTAATCTTGAAAAAAATGTGGAAACAGAAAGTGACTATTACTTGTCCCTTTCCCACAGAAAGAAGATCTGGACATTGTATGTGAGAGGTTTACTACCAGTAAACTGCAAAAATTTGAAGACTTGGCTAGTATTTCTACCTATGGCTTCAGGGGTGAGGTAGGGCCTTCATCAAGGTTTTGAAACTTTTTGTTGCTTGTTGTTAGCCTGTTGTAGTGGGGTTTACCCACTGTCCTTTTCTCCATAGTCTATACAAGATGTTTTCTGAGAGGTTTTCTGTTTTCTGAGGGGGTCAGCCATGTGAATATACTTCAAAATATGTTTCTATGTCTTTCAAGATTAGATTAATACCTAGGGAGTCATATATGTTCTTTTTGCTTCCTGGAGTTAAGATTTTTGGGTTTTTTTCAAAGTAAAGCAAGTCCTGTCTTCTCAAATGCTGCTTCGGGGACTCATAGGTAAAAGACAATGAAATATTTTAGTGGAAGCTAAATGTCTGACGTCAGATATTTGTCTAAATACAATACTTTAAATGTTTGTCTTCCCTTGCTTTTGCTGTTAATCAAACTTAGTATCTCTGGTCCCTCAGATACACTAGTTCTCTAAATTCTCATAGGCTATATCTAAACCTGCCTAGAAAGAGCAGTCCAGGCGGAGTTCTGCTTTCCCCTCCAGACGGGACAAAAAGATATACGTTGCCTGTGCTCAGATACATTATTCAGGGTCTTTCAGGATCCAGAAAGTCCTCTCCTCAGCAGTGTGTGTTGGCACATTGAGTGTTCCAGGAGAAACATTGTAATTGTCCAGGAAAACATTGTAACCTGACATTGCACTATCACCTACACTCGGGGAAGAACTTGGGCAGGGATGAGAAAGCAAGGGCTAAAACCTTCCCATTGTTTTTTGTTGACATGAGAGAAAGAGAAGGGCACAACTGCAATGACTTGGAAAATTTTTTAGCTATGTTACCTAGTTATCTGCTTGCATTGTCAGAGGTAATGAAATGTTAGAGAAGTCAAAAGAAGGTTCTGGATAAAAGGCAGTGTTATAGGTACGACAATTTAAAAAATCTTTACTGTGATTACTTACAAGTGGTATATCAAATTGTAGTGATACTGTTTAAAGTGTGGACACTCCTTCAGCAATCAATGGTTTCCAGAGCAAGTTTTACAAAGATGCTGTCTCTTTCC